CTTCCTTCCTTCCTTCCTTCCTTCCTTCCTTCCTTCCTTCCTTCCTTTTCTTTCTTCCCTTCCTTCCTCCCTCCCTTCCTTTTCTTTCTTCCCTTCCTTCCTCCCTCCCTGCCCTCCCTCCCTCTTTTCTTTCCTCCCTTCCTTCACTTCTCCCTCTCTCTCCCTGTCTTTCATTTGTTTCAGGTCCTTCCCTTTAGAGAGCATTGTCTTATTACATCGCAGAGGACTTTTGCTTCTTCCCAGGAAACTGAGTTCCACATCTGTAAGAAGGGAGCTGTGGGCAGCAGAAAGGGAATAGTATTCATTTGCTCCTACTGAAACTCTCCTACAAATCCCAAAAGTTTTGAACTAGATGTCAATCAAAAGGCAGCAGCTCTATACCACTTACATGCTTTCTGAAAGAAATGTATATTTCTTGCAGTGGGAAAATAAACAAACAAACAAACAACAACCTGAAATGGATTTGGGAATTTCAAAATGCTGAATTTAATATGTGAAGCTTGTGCTGTTTGTTAGCATTCAGATAATGAACAGTTACTTCCAGAAATCAGTGCTTAAAGCAATACAAGAAGCTGGAACAAACCTTTGTATTATGTTTTAATGTTTTCCTCTATTTGACAGAATAAAATGATATGGAGTGTCCTTCTGTCACAGCACAAAGCCAAGAGCAACTCTACATCTTTCTTCGGGACAACAAAAGGGGATAGGATAGGATTTTCAGTGAAACCTAGATATTGCTGTGGGTAAATGAGTGCACTTATTAACATAGATAATACTGGAGGACTACAGTTTACACCTGCAGAAGCTGAAATAATTAAGGGAGGTTGGAGATCTTTATATTTGTATTTAAATATATTTATATATATTTATAGTATCTATAGATAGATTGTTTTGAACAATCTCCAAAACTTCTTTGTGTGGAAAATTAAGATGCTTAATGATATTGAAATATGAACTGCCTGTATCAGAAGTCAGCTTTGTGCAGGGGCTGGTGGTTCCATGTAGTCTGTTTAAGGCTTTGACTGGGAGAGAGCAGTGCCTCTAGCAAAACACAGAGTTGCCCATCCTCTAAAACACGGGGGCCTCTTCATGATGAGAGAAACCTGGAATCTGTGCCCATATATCATTGCAAACTTTAAGAATCTTTGTCCAGCTCTTCATCTTTTCACTTTCATTGCTTGTGAGGTCCCATCTGGATTACTGTGTCCAGGTCTGGAGCCCCCAGTACAAGAAAGACAGAGCTGTTGGAGAGGGTCCAGAGGAGGGCCATGAAGATGATCAGGGAACTGGAGCACCTCCCCTATGAAGACAGGCTGAGGGAGCTGGGCTTGTTCAGCCTGGAGAAAAGAAGGCTGAGGAGTGACCTCACTGCAGCATTTCAATACCTAAAGGGAGCCTACAAACAGGAGGGGAATCAACTCTTTGAAGGGGTAGATAACAGCAGGACAAGGAAGTTGAGGATATTCTAATTTGATACCAGCAACAAAGGACCTCAAGCTTCCTAGTATGGCAGAGAAGAAAATAGCAGAGAATCAGCAGAAATTCAAATAGCAGGTATAGAGTAGGTCAAAAGGTGAGGGTACTATTGCTCAGTCAACTGCAGAGAAATAGTGAATTAAGCAATATTTAAAAAAATATATATTAAAAAAAAAAATCAAAGTGTTTTGTTTTCCTTGGTCAGTGTATTGGAAAATGTCACTTTTTTGCCACAGAACTAAGGCTGTTTGGTTTTCTTCAGTTGAATTTTAGCTGCGGGGAGAAACTGTGAAGTTAATTTAAGTGAAGTTTATGTACATTATCTCACAGAATGGCGTATCTCTGGAGTAAAGGATTAATCACAATAAAAGTATTTTGCCAACACATCACAAAAACATGAAACTTTCTCTTTTTGCTTATTTCTAATGGCCAGAGGCAGGAGAAAGCCCTTCTGTGCTGGAAGGCAGCAGAAATGTTCATCACAGAGGGAGGCCCCTGCTGGAGGATGGCAGTGGGGCAGGGGGAGATAGAAGCGCCTTGCAAATGTAATAACCTGTAACAAGAAGCACTGCCAGGTTAATTACGTATGTTTAATACAGTTCCAGGGTTATGCAGGTCGTGCAGCAGTGCCCTGATGTTTGCCCTGTAAATTGACTTGCTTTCATTCCTCATCAGCTGCTTGAACAGCTGAGCAACAGCAACAGCACACGCACAGCCAAAGGAGGGCACCTTGCAAACCTGTGGAATTCACTTCCTATGCAATCAATAGGAGCATGTATGTGAACAGTGGTTTGCAGAAATTGTATCTTTAGTGTCA